GGTGCTGGTTCGCTTTGTGGGGCATCAGAAACAACTTTGGTCGTACGCATTGAGACTGGGGTTCTTAAACTTGTGTGGCGTGAGATAGGCTTTTCCGTAACAGGACTGCATCCAGAAAGAGCAAAGCTGGGATCGTTTCTTGTTTTAGCTTGGTACGAAATGAAGGAGGTAAAAAAGGAGAAGGGGGGGTAACCAACCTTGTAGTCCTCTTTATACTTTGATCCTTGAGTGATCCATTTTTCTTGCAGGTTGTATGGCAACTTTTCCATGATGGGTTTGATGCCGCGGGCGGTATCCAGGTATGCTAAGCTGGGTAAGTAGCCATCGTCCTTTGCTGAAAGTAGCTCCATCAATAGATCCCCTAGCTCTCTTAACTTGTAATTGTCCTTGTTTGTTATTTTAGGAAAGCTGTCCAACTTCCTGAAGAGAGCACTTTCTATGACTTCTGGAGCACCATAGCATTCATCGAGCCTGTCCCAGGCCATTTTGAGTGCAGTATTTGGATTGTCAATATGAACTGCTCTTAGGCGCTTGACGTATGCAGAAGATTCCTTTCCAAGCCATTTTGAGAATAAATCCAACTGTTCACTGGCAGTAAGGTCCAAATCCTTAATGGTATTGAAGAAGGCGGACTTCCATGCTCTATATGACTCTGGGTGATCGTCAAAGTGGGTTAAGCCAGTGCTCACAAGCTCTTTGCGTGCTAAGTACTTTGCCATGTCCATCATTACTGAAGACTCTGGGGTGTTTGTGTGAGAAATGTCGGGGTACTGAGGAAAGGTTAACTTGGGCTTTGGGTGAAGCGTATTGCTTTCTGGTTCTTGTAGGAGTACCTCCTTTTTAACTTGGAGGTGACCTTTATCTGGCTGGGCTGGTGGTTGAGGGCTTTTCTCGATAGGATGCTCTGATATTGAGAGACTGGCTGATTCAGTGCGTTGGTTAAGCTGCATAGTTTGGTCTCTGATATACTCGCTTACACGTTCATGTGTAGTCTGTACCATATCTGGGAGACTTTTCCAACTACGGTGTTCTTCACCCTCTATCTCTGCTGCTGCTTCCAAAAATTCTGCTTGAGCAATTGCGGCTGCAGCTTCTTTTTCAAGATTTAAGGCTTCAAGCTTGGCTTCTAGTCTTGCTTTGTCAACTTTAATGCTGATCTCTCTCTGTGCGAAGGCAACACGTGCACAAGCAGCTTCTGCCTTAGCCCTCACATGTGCTGCTGCAGCACTGACAGTTGACCCACTTGAACGTTTGGAAGTTGAACCAGCGCTTTTGACTGATGCTCCATCTTGAGGAGGCATTGGCTCTTTTGGTCTTGCACCTTCGGGGTGTGCCTCATCCATATTTGTCGACATAGTTTGCTGCCGTAGCGTTGCTTAGCCAGCTGCGTACTGTCTATTACTATCCTGCTCTCCTTGTGTGTGTGCTACACAATTTAGCAGTAGCCTAACTCCACTTGAAATAATGCGGAAGTCAGGATGTAACATCCAAGCTCCTTTTAATTAGTACACATTTCTTCATGGAGTAAACAGAAATACAAATGAAATAGCTACAATTAACTTAGCATCATTAGCACCATATGAATGCATTCCAACACACATCCATTAGCATACAACAACCAAAATCTCCATCTATAGCAAACATTCCCACAAAATATACATAAAATATAATCCTGCTATTCTTTATTAACAAAACTTACAGAAGGTGGTGTCGTTGGCACAAACAAAAAGCAGATGTCGGTGGACGAACCTCACCACATGTGGCTCATTAAGAACTAAAACAAAATGGCTGACTTCCTGTCACTTCCTGAAAACTGACTTAGTAAAACACATTTCAAAATAAAATTAGCTCAAAACTACATAAATTGTCCATACTCCAATAAAATTAAGGGCAGAACAAAAGCTATTTGCCGGATTTTGTAAATGCCACCTGCTCACATATTAATTACCTTGTGGCCACAAAATACTACGTTGTTCCCATATTTTTATTTGAATTTTATTATTTTCATTCAGTGAGTCTTCAGGGGCTCAATAGATTAGCACTCCCCTCGCCAGACATTACAACTGACTGACACTACTGTCACTTTACGTTTGTGTTACTTTGTTACATTGTCGTTGTGTATATTGTAATATTTAAAAATGCATATAATATATAAAATAACTGTTTTACATTCACCCCATTGTCGGTTTGGTTTGTTTGATGATACAATAATGACAAGGTGGATACAATTATAATGCTGTATTTTATAGAAGTCCAATAGAAAACAATATTTACATAATGGGTATTTCAGCTTATTCTGCTGGGGCCTGTAGTCTGGAAGATAAAGCGGGAACTCAGTGTTGCTGCAGTGGCAGGGATTGTCCTTTTAAAACACAGTAGAGAGCAGTCATTATTTGAAGGCATCACAGTTCAGCATCAGTTTTTTCATCATTAATAAATAAACAGGTTAAATTTCTCAGTCATCCACTTGAGTTTGCTTTCTGCTGTGCTATAATGAAGCGCATATTACTACAGCTAATATACGCTAGCCAGCTAGCTTATTACAATCTTTGCCACTATCATTACACAGCAAACCAAGTTACAGTGCACCACAAAAGAAGAGCATCTAGCCAGTTATAAACTGTTACTATCAGGGTAAAACCCAACAACAAACCTAGCTCGCTAACAAATCCACATAGCTGCCGAGTTAAATTGTGGCTTACCTGTCCAGAAGTTGTAAGGCTAGCTGCACATCACTCTTGTCACCCCCTTGGAAACTTGTTCTCTCTTTTCTTCAACAGTCTTCAATAGCTTTGCATATTGGGTGGTGTAAATTGATCTGGGGGACAGCTGTCAGTCACACTGTAGCTCTAATACCTGTCCATGAACTCGAAGAGGACGGCCTGTTTTTAGCGCTTTCTCCTGATTTGATGTGGGAATAAGTGGATACGGGACACCAGGAAAATGACATGTTTACTACAGTGGAGGGACTCAGAGACCCATGTTACTGATCAAACATCAAACTCTATTTCAGTGGTTGCTGTCAAAATGTAGAGCTATTTAACACTTATTTTAACAAAAAACACTTACAGCCCTTTAAAACATTTTCAATGTTGACAGACACCTGATGGTGTTATTTTATAGATTCATCACTGATTTGTTAGTATGGTAATTTAAATGCACAAAATATTCATCAACTGGGAAAACTTTTAACAAGCAGTGAGTAAATTCATTAGTGAAAAGCAGACTTCTCTGTCTGACATTTATAGCAAACTAATTTAGTTTTAAGTTAAATCACGGGCTTAGAATTTTGATGGGACGTGTCCATACCAATATCCAGCAACTACTGAATTGTTCCTAGGATTAATTCTGATGAAAATAATTAAATGTATTTGGTACACAATTGGATCACAGCTCTCGTTCTCTCCAACCAGTCCAAGGCATTGTTAAGTTTAGAAAGATTATGTCCTCCCCCCTCATGCCTCACAGTGGTTTGGTACGCTGCCCACCTTTTTCAGACCCTCAGAGACTTAATTTATAAAAAGCAACTAGCAACAAATCTAGTGAGTTACACAAAAGCCTGTTATATTGTAGGCTAATGTATTAATTCACTTGCTTCATTTTTATTATAGTAGTATAGTAGTATTATAATAGAAAGGACTCATGTCACTCCATTACTCAGTGACCTCCACTGGCTCCCCGTGGCCTCCAGAATCAAATTCAAGTCACTAATGCTGCATACAGAGTGACCACTGGGTCTGCACCCATCTATCTAAACTCCATAATACAAACGAATGCCGCCTGGCTCTGCCATCACTTCACACAAAGCAATCCCAGTCCCGGCTATTCTCATCTGTGACACCATGATAGTGGAACGAGCTACCACACGCCGTCAGAGCAGGGGCGTCCCTCTCTAACTTCAAGAAGCTCTTGAAAACTCATCTCTTCCGAGAACACTTCCTCTTATAACACCTCTAACTCCTAACATCTAACATGCACTTCCTGTGCTCTTCTTCTTCTATCCCCTACAATGATCTTGTATTGATTGCACTCTTTTGTTTTGATTGCACTTTTTGTTAACTCTTACTTCCTTCCCTAGGTATCTACCCCATTGATGTGATATGAACTATGAGCTCTTACTAGTATTTATTGCTGCTCTTACTAGTATGTATTGTCAGTTGTAGATCTGTAGTTGATGCTCTGTTGATGCTTGTATGTTGTTCCTCAAATGTAAGTCGCTTTGGATAAAAGCGTCTGCCAAATGAGTAAATGCAAATGTAAATCAGCACTAAGACTGACACTAAATTAAAATCCAGGCTTTAAATTTACCGATTAGAAACCTTTGTGTGATGATAGATAAACCATCCATGTTTTATGCCTTGCCTTTATATTCGATTGCCTGAAATCAGCAGCTGGAAGCAAGGTTTAACAGTGCCTACAAAAAGTATACTTTTACTTCCAAGGTGGATGTAAAATGAAATTATTATGTGAATTATAAAATCTACAAGGTGCGATAGGTCTATATTATCTTTGGAGATCTGGACATTACAAATGTTCCTCATTTTCCTGTACAAAACTATTTAAGTTCTGGACTAACTGGACTCCATGAGATGCTCAGTCATTTGGAAATGTTCATCCATCACCTGACTTTTTTTTGCGGGGTTGCATGGATTGTTCCTTCATCTTCATAGTGGAGGTTCTAGAAACAGCTATATTCATACCACAATCAAATGAATCCCCTCGATTACACACAGATGAGCCACTAAAATCCACTGGCGGCAGCAGTGATGATTTCATTGTGTCCTATTAATACTTTTAAAAACATGTAATTGTAATTTAGATTTGTAATGAACTTAGATCAATTCATAAAGATCTGTTTTCACATTGACATTGGGTAGTTTTCTGTTCATCACTGTCAAAAACCCACATTAATTATACACTGATTCAAATTAAAAACAATAAAATTACAAGGGGTGAATAATTTTTTATAGGCACTGTAAACATTGTAAACTTGGCCTTACCATTTGCATATGGGTTGACAGTCTTCTTATTTGTCATTACACGGGCTGTTGCATTGTTGACCTACAGCAGATAAATAGAGGTCCATGAGTTATAATACATTAGTAGTAAGTGCTATACTTGAGTAAATCTGCATGCATAGTTTCCAAATGTTGTAAACAAAGAAAGCAGGACACTATCATGGCAAACACCCATATCATTTGTGTGTTTTTGAAATTGCATTCAGAAACATCAAAAAACATCCAAAACATATCAGTTTTCTTTCTCATTTGCATATTTCCTATCTTGTGTTTTCCAGCATGCGTTCCCCAATTATAGTGACATTTCACTAACGTACAGACAGTAAAGTAAAGAAACAACAGATGCACTGGGCAAAATTAATTTTTGTAAATGTATAGATGCATGCGGTGGGGAGGAGAGGGAGGAGAAAAGAACAACAAAGAAAATGTCATTGGGGGACGGGATAACAGAATATGTTAGGAGCATTATGCAACATCATGTCAACCTTAAAATGTGAGACCTTTTGTGACGAAAGCAACACAAAGCATTCACATTTATACAACAGCCTCTCTAATTCCTTGCAAGAATAATTAAGTTTAAAAAAACAACCAAAGAAAATAAATGTACTCAAATAAACCAACCAAGTCAATCATTCAACCAATCAGTTCATTCCAAATTCAACAGCTAACAGAGTAAATTAAAATAATTGTGCATTGTCTTTCAAAATAAAGTAAAATAAATCACTAAAAAGGTTTCCAACAATCTCAGATTGATGTGCAAACAAATTCATATCTCAGTCAATATCACTCGCACACGCAGCTTCATGAGAACACTTAGTGAATGGACACGCACACCGACACGCAAGAAAATATCAACTCAACCACAATTCAAAAAGAAATGTTGTGTGAGTTTTAGCGTTGCAAACGTTCCATAGAGAGAGGAAGAGAGAGAGAGGAAATGCTGGCACAATAGCTTGCTCACCCACACTTACCATTCCCAAACTTTTGCCCCCGCCCACTTGTTAGTGTACTGTTACCGTTGTAACTGTGTTGGATGGGGCCCTAAACAAGCTACCATTAGAAGGATGGTGGGGGAGGAGGGGATGAGAAAGGAATAAGTAGCAACTTACTTAGATGGCCAAGAAAACTTTGCAATCATTGCACTGCACAAACTCTCTCTTGCAGCTGCTCTCTCTCTCTACAAGCAGCTAGCTGGTTTCTTAAAGCATAACTCTGAACATTTTGTATGGATAAGCTTTCTTCTTACGTTATACTGACTGATTTGGACCAAAAACGTCTCATTTGCTTCACTATGAAAATAACTACATACTGGCTCAGCTGTCAAAGAGAGTCCTATAGAAGCAGCCCAACACTCTGAATGCACCTCAAGGAACATGCCCCCACCAATGCACACCCTTGCTCTGTTTCAAGACAGGGCTATAGTTATTTTTCTTTTTCAGCGGAAGAGCTCATCTGTACCTTTTTGACTGGCAGCTCGAGATGACAGGAAGATTATGTACAGTAGTCTAGACATTCCGGGTGTGGTCAGTTCGATCCAAGAGCATTCCATTTGAAATGTGTTGTGTGTCTACACCCCTTGCTCTAACATGTTTGTAATGATTCAAACACAGATGACATATTAATACCAGGTGGAAATGGGTTTGAAATGTACAAACAGCCTGAGATCAGCATTCAGACTAACCATGTAAATGGGAAACAAGTGTTCCAGTTTGTTCCTGTTAGAGAGGGTAAAGACCAGAGAGTTGGTAGATGATTAGGATGAATTTTAGAGGAGCAGGAGTGTCAGGAAGAGGAATGATCAAATCAGAAAAGGGGCGAAGGACAAGAGGAACACAGATACCAGTAATTAATTGATGTGGGGGATCTATAATACAAAAGGGATAAGCACCATGGCGAGTGAATTGTGCTTCTATATTTGGAGAATGTGATCAGCCTTTGTTTCAGTTCAATTATTCATAATAACAACAACAATAACTTCTATATAGAGAGAGTGCCTTTGTGAGATTATAATGGGAGTATGGAGTGGTTTGAGGGCCTTAATGTAGACAGCCATGAAAGAGTGACTCTGAAGAAGCTTTGTGCATTTGGTGGTGTCATAGCTGGGAAGGAAAGGAAAGCTAAACAAATATGGTACTAGGCCTTACAGTAAACCTTGAAAATTAATAAGTTACTTGCTATGTATACACAAGTCCATTTAAGGAATAAGGGCTATGAGCTTCCAGTGCTGCAAGATTAATTTTGTGGTGTTGATGGGATGGATGGGAGACAGATTAAGTAGATAAGCACAGGTCCAGCATGTAGGAAATTAATGAGAAAGCTGGGACGAGCCACTCTCATTACATGGTGATGATATCTTTGGATGACTTCAGGGAATTGAAGACACAAAGTGGAGGTAAAGATGTGTCTAAGTCAACAGTTGCCAAGTGTCAACAGTAGTGTTGATTGGGGTAGTTACTCAAAAAAGGTAATGGATTACACATTACTAGTTACTTTTTTTTTAAAGTAATGCCTTACTTTACTAGATTCCTCACTGCTGAAAGAAACTAGTTACGCTACTACTTACATTACTTTTGGATTACTGCGTAATATCACCTGTGATGCACAATAGCAATACAGTTACACCTCATATATGCTCAGATCAGCACAATTCCTTATTTTAATGAGGACATACACAGGCCTTTTATGCTCTTTAATACAAAGCTGACAACAAAGTTGTGAACATCAGCCCAACATTTGTCAAGAGAAGAACAAGGCTAGCGTGCAGTAGCCTACTAAAATGCTAAAAACTTAATTTGGACATTTCATTGTAAACATTTATTTCTTTTTTCTGTGAGAGGGAAGAATTTAGAAAGTTGCATGGTACTGTGGAGAGCCCCCAGCTGCAGTATTGCATGGATCATGTGTAATATTCATCCAGCCAGAGGGAACGATCACGAACCGTTCACAGCGCGTTGGTCGTACTAACGACACAACCCGTACCGGAGAGGGAGTGGGGCGGTGGAGCGTACAGGGCCAGGAGATCGCGGAGCAACCAGCTGGATGAAGTCAGACGCTCCACATGATCCATGATGATAGAGAAATTTAGAGATGAATATCGATAATGCAAGCTGTCAATATTTTAGAGACCCCCCCAAAATATCACAAATCATGCTTTTCCCCCTAGCTCCCCTGTAGTTCACACCCTGGGCAGGAGATTAATTTTTCTCTCCTCCCGTTATGCAGATAGTCCAAGAACCAGTTCGCAAGTCACGCGATGATTTTGTTATTAGTAACTGTAATGTGATTACTGAGGTTATCAACAGTAATGCATTACATTACTGCGTTACAGACAAAAGTAATCTGATTACAGTAACGCATTACTTTGTAACGGGTTACCCCGTTGAATCTTGTGAACCAGGGCATGTGAGTGGAGTGCAGGGAGCACCAGCGGGAGCATCACCTTATCACCTTAACCCATTAACGCCTGAATTTCTTTTACAATAAAAAAATAATCTGTGTTTTCATTTGCTTTCAAGCTGATGTTAAATTAAGTGAAGATTGTTAATTTGTCTTTAGAACATAGAAAATATATAAATTCAGGTATGTGTAGGTATGATGCAAATTAGCGACAACAATCATAAACGAGAAACCAGGGCTTGCAAAAGGTTCCTAGGTAAATATCGAATATGCACAAACAGGCATTGGGGGAATCCATGTGCTATCTTGGCTTGCAGTCTGCAAGGAAGAGGTATGATGCGAATTTGCGACAATCGGCGTCAAGGGGTTAACTCCATTCTTCTCCAATTTTTGTAGCGGATGGAACAGATCGGTCTTTGAGCTAGGAGCAGAAATTCTAACTGCTTGGCTCCGCTTACATGTTCTGTTGTGGTATAGATGTTTTTGTACCCGTGTTCACAGGGTTGTTCAGAAAATAAAATGGAGAGTAAGGGGAGGGAGAAGACACAGGGGAGAGGTAGACATGGTCCCTGTTGTGCTGTTTAAAAAGCAGCTAGATAAATCTGGCTGAAGTTTCTTCCTCACTTGAAGGGGTTCAAGTATCTCCTATCCTTGTTAATGACGGAATCTAAGATGGAGCACACAATCAACTGATGGAAAATGCAGATGGCCATAGCAGATTTCTTCATTTACCACTCAGTATACATCCAGCACCTCACCTATGGTCATAAGCTTTGGGCAATGACCGAGAGAAGGAGCTTACTTTGCAGGTGGCTTACCCTTAGACATAAAGTGAGGAACTCGGCAGGGAGTTCGGAGTAGAGCGGCTTCTCATCTGCATCAGAAGAAGCTAGTTGAGGTAGTTGGGGTTCTGATTAGGATTCCGTCTGGTCTATTCCTACCTGTTTAGGTATTCTGGGGAGGTCCAACTGGTCACAAAAAAAGAGTTCCACCAGAAAATAAGGAAGGAGCAGGCAGACTACTGCTTCTCACACTCACAGGCCCTGCAAGAGTTGCAAGCTGCCATAATATTTCAACTTTGTCGAATTCACTTGCTCGCTATTCATCAACTGATCCAGCATGTTCTGCAAAGGAGAAGACCCGGAACCCCTGGAGAAGGTGACCTTGCTTAGCTTGCTGCCAGTGTGACCCAGATAAGTGATTTATGGATGGATTGATGGTGGAGACTTGCTGTGGTGCCAGGGTATTATAGCGTTAGTCAGGGTACAATCATAGAAAATAACCATATTATACCCTAAAATATGGTCCACAGTTGGAATGTGGATTATATGGACTAATTAACATAATTGTGATATTAAACTTAGGTCAAAAATGGACAAAGCTGGTGTTCCTCTAAATGGACACAAGGCATTGAAATCATTTTTAAGTATTATCATTATTATTATATTATTATATATCCAGGTGTCATCAAATTACAAAGTTCTTCTTCTGTTGATGATTAAGCTAGATTTGAGGACTTTTTCTGGGGGAAAGCTCCTTTCTCTTCTTATATGAGAACACCTTTCCTTTTGAACATTTATGGCGAAACTCCAAAGTAACATTTGCACCTTCTTAAACACAAACGTCTGTCTATAATGCTGGGTAGTGTGGATTTTTACCATGAAACCTTTTGCAGGCTAAATTTCCTTGACAGTGCAAAAAGGAACAAAAAAGGAAACAAAACAACCAAAGTTCTTTACATACAATAATGTGGGACTAGTTATAGGTCGACATTTATTTGTGTTTACATTAATAAAACTACACAAGGAAAGGGAAATAATGAGGCTTGGATGATTTGACAGTTTGATGTCAAGAGAAAGATGTCAAGGTGGGATTTGGTGGTCAAACACTCATACACATATATACAAACAAACATACACACCCAAAGAGGAAAAGGAGGACAGGGAAAAGGAAGAAGTCCTAAGAAATATTTCAGAATATGCACCTCTATTTTACGGCCTTCCACCACAGTGCCGTGTAATTTCTCCCTGGCCCTATCGGCGTCCACGCTGTGCTCGAACGTTACGAATCCAAAACCCTGGATACAGAACAGAAAGAGGCAAGAAAAACATTAACATTATTTTTTTTTTTAACATATAGCCTACTCAACATTGCAATTAACAGTGACTTGTGTTAACAGGACAACAGCACATGACACAATTTTCTGCTGCAACTTCAGTATTCAATGTTAACAAATATCCAATAATATTACACAGGTCTGAAAAAAGCGAATTTACTAATGACGGGAAAATAAACCTTCGCAAAGCCCTTCCCCCTTACGTACTGTTGCTATGCCTATCAAGCTTTCCATTCTAGCATGGCACATATTAAGTTGCAATTAAGTATTATAATTAATACAATTTAGAATAAGCAAGTGTAGTGGACCAGCCAGTGTATTGTTTTTGATTATTCTATATCAAAAGGGAGATTCCGAATTGTCTTTGCTGAAAAGGGGGTGGGGGGGTTGGGATATCAACCCTCAACAGACAGCTGTAAAGTACATAGTAAGATATGTGAAACTGATAAGAAAGACAGACACCAGAGGAGGACGCTGCCCCGAATTCTTTTGTGTGGAAAAATATTGTCTCCTTATAAACTTGCCTATTACCTTGTTTAATTAAAGAATCTTTAAGTTACTTAGTAGGTCTCTCCATTTGAGTAGTTATATTACCATGTTGTTGTTGAAAAGAAGAATCCATAAAGAAGTTAATTTTGCAGTGCTCTTTAATTTACAGCAATGATCACTGACATTCCTTTAATTTGTCTCTTAACTAATACTTTGTTCCAGCACCTTTATATACTCTCTTAGAAATTATATGATACAGAAATATTATCATGTGTTAAATAACCAATTTTCCTAGCTCCTGAGCAAATGATTGTTTTAAAGAAATAATCAAGTTATCTCAGTCCCCTCATGGAACCAGAGCTCCCCCCAGAGGACAAATTAAGTATTACATGTCATTGTTTTAATGCTTCTCCCGCTGTTTTAATGTATCACTCTGTATTTTATTGTGTATAATTTGATGCCATGTTTGTGTAACTTGCTTATATTCTCTAAGTAAGAATATTTAACAGCCACTATTATCCAGGAAATGTTGAGTTAAGTTTCTTTCATCCTGAAATCCTGAAAATGTGTTTAACTGGTAACCATTCTAATCGTTACAGTGATTACTTAATAGTTTCCTTTTAATCAAATGCTTAAAACTCAGAACGGTATAACTGTTTGACATTTAAGGCTTGATTGTGGGAAGGTATTTGATTGAAATACACGCAAATAGACTTTAAAATAGACATTAAAGTTAACGGACAGCCTCTCTCAGGAGACCGGAAACAAAGCCTCACGGGACACGCCCAAGAAAACAAAACTCAGCGCAAGACATGCACCTCTTCTCTCATCTCTTGTCTCTTGTCTCTTCGCTCTTGCTCTTTGCCCTGCATGCTTACGGAGTGTGCTCCGTCTCCCAGCAACGCCCTAAGGAGTTCGGCCTGGCCTTGCCGCGAAGATTTCTTTGTTCTTTTCAAGCCACACACGCGAAGTCCCGCTCCCTTTCGTGGAAGTTATCTTTTTCTTTTTGTTTGTTTGTTACGAGTTATCAGACCGCAACTTTGAAGTCAGGAACAACCAAGTTCCCTTTTTAAACATTATTTCCGTCGAATTAACTTCCACTGCTCCCACCAGAGTTCGTACCCAAACACGTGGTACCGTTACGCCAGCAGTGATCCAGAGGACATCAAACCAACGAACCAAGCCAGGCTTACGGCCTATAACTGCAAGTTTTCTTCAACCACAATCCGCCTAGGATGGACCTCCAGGACAAAACCTGCTAGTAAAAAGCTGGTTCTGGCAACCCAGCCGCTGAAACTGGACGCCTGAAAACCATCCGGCTGAGAAACAACAAGCAGTAAGGCTAAAACAAGTTACATTCCGTGGTCGAGATGATGTCCATTATTAGCTTTAATCCTTAGCCTTTATCTGTAATTCTTAGCTGTTAGTTTAATCCTTTAACTAAAACTCCTGGCCAGATTTAACTGAGTTATGACCATAACTTGCATTTATTGGTTCTCCTGCCACTTTAGACTCAAATCTTTTCCACAATAGGCATCATTCTCATTGTTTGCATTCTGTCTGTTTAGTCATTGTTTATTTCTTTGATGTATATTTAACCACATTTATTTCACCTTAGTTAGGTAATAAATTTCACCGTAATCACAGGAACTGTGTGTGTGTATTGTTTGACTCCAGGTCACTGTAACGGAAGATTTATATCTTCGATATGAGATTGATTACATTGATTTAAGATAATTAAGCAATTACTACTAACTGATCACTAGGAAATAATTGTATAATTATTAAGCTATACTCAAGGTTCCTAAAGCCTTGGGTGGACAGCAAATCTTTAGGTAGTGCCCCAAAACAATGAGAGTTTTATGAATTAATATTTCCGTATATTAATATTGATAATTTTATTAACAGTAGACTGTAGGTACACTACACAAGGTTCTTCTTTTTAGTAAGTGAACATCAGTTTAGAAGTCTGAAATTTAACTTTGGAAGTTGTGACAAAAAAATCTAATTGGGCCCCCTCTGCGCAGCTGTTGTCACCACATCTCTAGGACCTAACTGTCCCATTAAAAGCTTAACATAACTAATTAAAGGCTTACAACTGTCTTGCTTCTTGTAGTTCAATACTAGTACTAGCACAATATTTACTGCTTAGTCCCTACTGTGCGGGACGGATGAAACACAACAATATACATTTAAATATTTTATGTTACTCTTGTTTTTATTTAGAAAGCTTGAGACTGCCCTTCTTAATACGTAATTGCAAACTCATTATGTCCTTTTTCTTAATAAAAAAAATAGTATAAATATAACTAACTAACTAGAATATTCAACAGCTAATGCGTGTTTGGATTAGAAATTGACTGCCCTTTTTACATACATCTGCAGCCTGTTTTCCTGGTCTACTGTGAAGACCCTGTTATTTGGCTGTGAGTATCATGGTGGTCCAGCCTGCAGTCTGGTGGAACCCCTCCCGCCGTATCTAAATAAGGTAGCATGACTACGTCCTGACAGTGACTTCTGACGATTATACTTCACTAGTTTCTAAACTGTAAAACTTTGACAATTAAAACTTCAGGATGTGTTAAAGTACTAAATAATCTTTCATGTGATCATGAATGGCACATGGAACATTAAACACAACTCGTCATTCAAAGAAAAAATTATCGCTTGTGTGAATTTACTTTCCATTATTGAAAACAGCTTCTTTCGTATAACTCCGGGAAAGTGTGACGTATCCACCTGACTTTTCCCGGTTCTGTTAAGTACTGTGCACTGTATGTGCTGAGGTAGTTTGGCATATCAGACTTGTATGGGCTCCGAGAAAATCGCTGTGTTTCATTCGTCCCGGCTCTCCCCTATGCAGTTCACTATTTGATGCAAGATTAAAAGCCACCGTAAAAATGTCCCTAAGGTAATCTTTTACAGTCTCAATGTATTTTTATACTAATATTAACTACCTATAGATTAATTCATTCATTTAACAGCCATAATTAAATCTAAATGAATGTATCAAACTGGATTATTTTAATATTGTCTGTAAATTACATGTAGGCTGAGGTAATCTACTCACTGTTTCCAACTGTCCAGCATCCAGTACAAACAGAAGGTTGTTTTTATTTTATTTCAAAATGATCATTATGTGAAAAAAATTATTTGTTTGAATTTCTGTCATTAATAAATATTTCATTTTCTTTTTTTGTTATGATAAAAAGAGCAAGAGAGAGAAATCCCCACAGACTCCCTGGAGTGATGCTAACTGTCATGTCATTAACACCGTGTTGCTCCCCTTCTTCACTGGGACAGGGAGGCTACAGTTATGGGGAGACTGGGGTGCTGCTGACTCATCTTTTGTTAGTCTGCTAAAAGGGGCAGGGACAATGATTTAATATGAATATCTTGCAAAATTTTTCCCTGCACTGATTAGATGTTGATGAAATGTAGGCTAACACTAGTCTGCAGCTAGCTAGCTTATTTCACTGTGGCCATTAACCCAACAGGTAGACTAAAGGCTGCCCCCCTTTCTTGGTGAAAAACTGGGTTACAGAGTGACATCCTTTGTCTTTCCTCTCTTTCCTTTTTTGTAAACCAGATTTTGGTTTACTATGCAACATTGTTAACACTGTATTTCTGGAACATCTACTAACTGCAACTAAACACTGTCACTGATACAGCGTGCTAAGGCAGGACCAAACCATTTCATGCAGATACAGGGGGGTGGTCAGTCAATATGGAGGTTTTGGTCAGTGGAGATATTTAACTTCTATTGCCAAAAACAAAGAGATCATTAATTGTATTATTATATTTTAAATACTCAGTGATGAGGGTTTATATAAATATAATTTGATATTAGTTTTTACCCATCTTTTGGGGCTCCTGTCAGTCAGGGGCCCATGGAATTGTCCTAATTTTTCCCCCCTATATGGGAACCCTGCCGGGTCTTAAATATGCACCTGAGACACCATACATGACAGCCAGATAAAAGACTGGCTAAAGCTGTATATTCCAGGCAAAACCCCCTTAGTTTAGGTAGAGTTCTTAGAGTGTAACACACAAAATAATATAGGTAAGTAATTATGTACTCCATGTCATTATAAGTAATGCGAGGTTACTACTGCAGGTAATAGAGCTGTATAGATGTACACTTCGTTGTGTTCAGAAATCCAAAGCTTGACAGGCCTGCAATCCCTTATTATGGTTGTGGGGTGGTGATGGAGTGTCACGAGGTCTCAACTATGACTATGCTGGGAGTGTCGGTATGTGGTTGTCTGTGTTTTTCTGTTGCTCGACCTCTCTTTCTACCCTTGCAGTTTGACAGGAGGCGTGACTGGTGGGGAAGCATGGGGATGGCTCACTCACCTGTCTGGCAGACTGATTAGCACACCTGATCCATATTATGTCGTCCTGTGCTGCTTCATAAGCCCTGCAGTTCTCCTCAGCCTTCGCTGGATTGTTATGTCGTATAGCTCTGGAGA